TGTTTTAAAACAACACAAATTTATTATCTTAAAAAGTTTTTTTTGTTTTTGTTTTAGGTGAGAAAGCCATCACAGTTCTCACTGGGCTAAAATTAAGGTGTCAGCAGGACTGTGTTCCTTTCGGGAGGCTCCAAGGGAGAATTTATTTGACTTTTACGTTCCTTGGCTCTTGGCCCCTTTCCACCTTCAAAGCTAGCAATGGCCAGCTGAGTCTTTTTCACATCACATCACTGACACACTCTTCTGCCTCCCCCTTCCACTTATAAGGACCCTTGTGATTTCACTGGGCCCAACCAAATAATCCAGGATAATCTCCCCCTTTAAGTGTCAAATTTAGTGATCAGCAAACTTAATTCCATCTGTAATCTTAATCCCCCTTGGCCATTTAATCTAACATATCACAGATTCCAAAGAGTAGGCAGTAGTCATCTTCCGAATCTATCACATCTACCACAGTGCTGTTGGGCAAATAACTCTTCACCTCCCGTTTTGGTTTTTTTTTTGTGACAATATAACAAGTTTACTGCATGTGATATAATACAAGTTTTATATGCAACATAATGACTTTGGTATTACAGAATTTAACCTGTTTTGTAACTATCTTGTGGTGTTACTCTTTGCTAACTGTTCTGTGTTGCACCAACAGACCCCTTTTCCCCATAGCTTTTTACTATTAGAGTTTCTTTCCCTTAGAAAAGGTGAAAATGCTCAAGTTCCCACCCATGAAAAAAATGTTAACCCAAATTTAAGTTTCAGCATATTTTAACATTAGAAATAGGGTCTGTGCAACACCTACTTTTACCTGAATAGTACTATACAAAAGGTTACAGTGTTGACCAAAAGAAGACACAGGTTTCTCATTAAACTTTTGTTTTAATGGGTCTCAAAATTCTGTGACAGATTTTGGGTCAAGTTGTTTCCATTAAAAAGTACTGATTTTAAAAACTAATAACTTAGGGACGCCTGGGTGGCTCAGTCGGTTAAGCGTCTGCCTTCGGCTCAGGTCATGATCCCAGGGTCCTGGGATGGAGTCCCACATCGGGCTCCTTGCTGAGCAAGGAGCCTGCTTCTCCCTCTGCCTGCCTCTGTCTCTCTCTCTCTGATAAATAAATAAAATCTTAAAAAAAATAAAAAAAACCTAATAACTTAAAACTGCCACACACACACACACACAAAAACATGGTCCGCAAAACATTCTCCTTTCCTTCTGAAGGTTTTATGATGCATTGTTACCATTAACCAGTCTTTTACTATTAAACTTAAATGGCCAATTGACACAAACAGTTCTGAGACCGTTCTTCCACCCCTGATTAAGACTGGGGTGGCAGGTATTGGGGATAATATTCATTTAGCCTTCTGAGCTTTCTGGGCAGACTTGGTGACCTTGCCAGCTCCAGCTGCCTTCTTGTCCACTGCTTTGATGACCCCCACAGCAACCGTCTGTCTCATGTCACGAACAGCAAAACGGCCCAGAGGAGGATAGTCAGAGAAGCTCTCAACACACATAGGCTTGCCAGGAACCATATCAACAATGGCAGCATCACCAGATTTCAAGAACTTGGGACCATCTTCCAGCTTTTTTCCAGATCGACGATCTATTTTCTCCTTCAGCTCAGCAAACTTGCAAGCAATGTGAGCCGTGTGACAATCCAGCACTGATTTGGCCTGGATTGTTCAGGATAATCACCTGAGCCGTGAAGCCCGCTGCTTCCATTGGTGGGTCATTTTTGCTGTCACCAGCCACACTGCCACGACGAACGTCTTTGACAGATACGTTCTTGACATTGAAGCCCACATTGTCCCCAGGAAGAGCCTCACTCAAAGCTTCATGGTGCATTTCAACAGACTTTACTTCAGTTGTAACATTGACTGGAGCAAAGGTGACCACCATCCCAGGTTTAAGAACACCAGTCTCGACTCGGCCCACAGAGACTGTACCAATACCACCAGTTTTGTAGACGTCCTGGAGAGGCAGATGCAAGGGCTTGTCAGTTGGACGAGTTGGTGGCAGGATGCAATCCAGAGCTTCAAGCAGTGTGGTTCCACTGGCATTCCCATCTTTACGGGTGACTTTCCATCCCCTGAACCAAGGCATGTTAGCACTTGGCTCCAGCATGTTGTCACCGTTCCAACCAGAAATTGGCACAAATGCTACTGTGTCAGGGTTGTAGCCAATTTTCTTAATGTAGGTGCTGACTTCCTTAACGATTTCCTCATATCTCTTCTGGCTGTAGGGTGGCTCAGTGGAATTCATCTTGTTAACACCAACAATTAGTTGTTTTACACCCAGTGTGTAAGCCAGAAGGGCATGCTCACGGGTCGGCCCATTCTTGGGGATACAGGCTTCAAATTCACCAACACCAGCAGCAACAATCAGGCCAGCACAGTCAGCCTGAGATGTGCCTGTAATCATGTTTTTGATAAAGTCTCTGTGTCCTGGGGCATCAATGATGGTCACGTAATACTTGCTGGTCTCGAATTTCCACAGGGAGATATCAATGGTGATACCACGTTCACGTTCAGCTTTCAGTTTATCCAAGACCCAGGCATACTTGAAGGAGCCCTTTCCCATCTCAGCAGCCTCCTTCTCAAACTTTTCGATAGGTCTTTTGTCGATCCCACCACATTTGTAGATCAGATGACCAGTAGTGGTAGACTTGCCCAAATCTACGTGTCCAATGACGACAATGTTGATGTGAGTCTTCCTTTCCCATTTTGGTTTAGGTTGAACGGTGGTTTTCACGACACCTGTGTTCTGGCGGCAAACCCGTTGCGAAAAAGTTCACCTCCGGTTTTTGCGTTTGTATAATTAATGAGATTGGTCTGTATAACCCCTAAGGTCCTTTCCAGCTCTACCAGCTAGAGCTCCAAATTAACAAAAGTTCATAGTATTATATCTGGCTTTTAACTGAATTTGCATTAAATAATTAATCTGAAATAATGTTAATTCTGAATTTATGTTCAGAAGTGACTTCCAAAGATATTAGGCCATGAATCTCCCAGAATAAGTGTTGGCCACAGCCCCAGACACACACAAAACCAATTACAACGCAGTAAATCTTTCCACTTAATGTCAGAATGCAGACTTAAATAATGAATTTTCAAATGTGTGGTACACTGTTTAAATCACAAGTGAATGAAGTGGCACATAAATAAATTTTAACTGATACACAAGAAAGCCTCCCCCCCCCACCCACAAGAAAGGATTTTGATGAGGGATAAATGAAGTGTATTTTATTTTGTGTCTATGAACCCTCTCTCCTCTTCCCCCTTTTCTTAGGAGTTTGCTAAGTCATATTACAAAAAGGAACAACAAACTGGTGCCGTAACTGGTGAGTAGAAAAGTCATCCAAATGGCAATCATTCAAATTCAAGGAAATGGAGTCAGAACAAGCTCTAGTAATAAAAGGATTCACCTTTCCTTTCTGATTTACCAGAATGGCTTCTCTAGAAGAAAACAGTATTTGGGTTCTTTAGTATTTTTTTTTTTAAGATTTTATTTATTTATTTGACAGAGAGAAACACAGTGAGAGAGGGAACACAAGCAGGGAGAGTGGGAGAGGGAGAAGCAGGCTTCCCGTTGAGCAGGGAGCCCAATGCGGGGCTCAATCCCAGGACCCTGGGATCATGACCTGAGCCGAAGGCAGACGCTTAACGACTGAGCCACCCAGGCGCCCCGGGTTCTTTAGTATTTTGAGTAATAAAGTAGTTCTATCACCCTGACACACTCAAGAATATTTGGAATAGAAATTAAAGTTGATACAAGGGGAAAAAAAGTTGACATAAGGAGTAAACCCTTCAGCGGTGATTTTTAATTCATCTCCTTAACAAGTTTTCTTACCAATGTGTCCTTAATTACCATTGACCCTGTTATCAGATGGTACTTTCTACATCAAAATACTTCTAATAATATACTTTAGAACTGACATTCACTACATAACCACAACATATATAATTTGAAGAATACAGAAATATTTTTATTTTTTCATTTAATGATGCAAAACACAAACGCTGATTTGACATACATGCACAAATAACTTTTTCTCTCACGTTTACAACTCAACAGATTGGTGAATCCAAAGGAACTAGTATAATCACTATATGGAGCATACCTATAATGAAGAAGAAAAAAAAAACTATAGTATTAACTAGCAGAAATAATATTAAAATTAGACCATTCTGAATAATTTCTGGGCATCTGGGAAAGTTTAGAAAACAAATCCATAAAGAGTATCAACCCTTCATTTATTTAAGTTTTAGCAAAAAATATTTTATGTGACCTATAAGAGAGTAGCAAAAGCATATCTTATTTAATGTTTATCTCTTGATTAGCTGACTAAAGTAGTGACAGCAAGGTGATATTAATATGAAAAAAGAAATGAAAAATTTAGATAATCAAACCCTAAAGAGCTGAGTTTGAGAGTTGTTAAATATTAAAAACAATCATATGCTAGTGATTACTATTATCAAGCAGATATGCTACCTACTTTAATCAACCTAATTCATGAAAGCTGAGATTTATAAGAGTGATTTTTCATTTTACAAAAGGACTAATATAGAATTTCTTTAAAAGGATTTTCAGAAATATACGTATTTACATTTATATATTGACATATAAAATAAACTCATTCTTTTAAATCACAGAGCATGCAGAGTATAGTGTTTTGTTCACAGCTGGATTTTACTAGGAATTGTCCAACTGGGTGTTAGTTGAAGTGACAATCATAGTGAAATGGTCATACAGTAAAAGATTTACCAATCTACTGCCCTTATACCTTCATCCATTCTACAAATATTAAATTACCGGTAGGCCCAGGCACTGGGCAGTTTGCTGAGTACAGTATGATTAATAAAATAGGGTTTTTGTTCTCATGGAATTTACACTCAGGTGTCGTATATAACAGATACTAAGAAATACATACACCAACCTGTCTTCAGTGTCATGAAGTCACTGTGTAGAGTACTATTAGATTTACAAAAATGATATGATTTTGGTTCCATTCTTTTTTGTTTTTTTAAAGATTTTATTTATTTGTCAGAGAGAAAAAGAGACGGTGAGAGTGCACGCGCATGCACGCACACGAGCGGGGGAATGACAGGCAGAGTGAGAAGCAGGCTCCCCACTGCGCAAGGAACCCGATGGGACTCGATCCCAGGACCCTAGGATCATGACCTGAGCCGAAGGTAGACGCTTAACTGACTGAGCCACCCAGGCATCCCAATTTTGGTTTCATTCTTAAACACAACTTTCTTTGAACACAAAGTATAATGATTACAAATGATGCTAAAAAATGATTATGCTGAGAGATGCTTCAGCTAAGGTATTAAAATTCATAAATTTATCACAGGCAGGAATATCAGTGCTAAAAAGTACAAACTAAATAGAGGCGCCTGGCTGGCTCAGCTGGAGGAGCATGCAACTTGATCTGAGGGTTGTGAGTTCGAGCCTGACGCTGGGTGTAGAGACTACTCAAAAAAATAAATAAACTTAAAAAAAATATAAACCCAATTAAAAAAACCAACCAAAATACATTATTTAGAAAGAGGTCAAATTAACTTGCATAATTAATTAATCCTATAAAACTGCATACTTACCATATTAGTATTTCAAGTTTATTCCAACCCATTTCTTCTTTTATACTCTAAAACATCTTCATTATGTTGTTTGATGAGCTAGAAGTAGGTAACAATTAAAATTAGAAATGTAATCTTCCTGGCAACTTAAAGAGGCTAACCAATGATACTTATATTTCGTATATAAGAGGTATACAAGAGGAATAAGAATGGTAAATTGTAAAAGAATTACAACGATTCTAGGGGTGTGGGAGGGCATGGGGGCACTGGGACCTGGCTTGCTTTTCTTTTTCTTTTTTTTTTTTTTTTTAAGATTTTATTTGTCAGAGAGAGAGAGAGAGAGAGAGAGAGCACAAGCAGGGGGAGTGGCAGGCAGAGGGAGAAGCAGGATCCCTGCTGAGCAAGGAGCCCAAAGTGGGACTCAATCCCAGGACCCTGGGATCATGACTTGAGCTGAAGGCAGATGCTTAACTGACTGCGCTACCCAGGTTTCCTTCTTTTCCTTTTTTTTAAAGAAAGTTGGGTTTTGTTTTTTTTTTTTAAGATTTTATTTATTCATTTGTCAGAGAGAGAGAGAGCACCACAAGCAGGGGGAGTGGCAGGCAGAGGGAGAAGCAGACTCCCCACTGAGCAGGGGGCCCGATGTGGCGCTCGATCCCAGGACCCTGAAATCATGACCTGCGCCCAAGGCAGACGCTTAAGGACTGAGCCACCCAGGCGCCCCCTTACGATTTTAAATTCAACTTCTGCCAAATAAATTATTTCATTCAGTGGATAATTAATGTAATAGAATAACTTACCATAGAGGAGCTAAACCAACACAACCAACCAGAACTGAGTATTAAATGAGGTCCAGGCTGGTTGCTGGGTGTGGCATACTTCTAACCTTAGAAGTTTGATACTGTGAGTGACCAATCCCATCCCCCAACTATATGTGTATTAATTAGATGTCATGGGAGATAGACACTTTCTTAGAACCACTGTCTGACAGAATATGCAACCAAAACAATGGTTGATATGGGGTGACATTTGCTGCAATCAAAGATCCAATTTCAGTAAGAGTTCTCAGCAGCAATCAAGCTTTTTTTGGGCAAACTTTAAATTAAAACTTCATTATGACAAATATTATTTTAAAAAGGATTAGTTACTGTTGTTATGTTGTAAATGACTTCCAACATCTCTTACTCCTTATCAACAAGACTTTTTTTTTTTTTTAAGATTTTATTTCTTTGACAGAGAGAGAGCACAAGCAGGGGAAGTGGCAGGCAGAGGAAGGGGGAGAAGCAGGCTCCCTGCGGGGCTAGATCCCAGGACTCCGGGATCATGACCAGAGCCAAAGGCAGATGTTTAATGACTAAGCCACCCAGGTGCCCCATCAACAGCCATTTTAATGAGAAAATCCAAAATAAGAGATCTAAGAATTGGAGGTGGGAGGCAGTGGAGAAAGCTCCTAACCTAGTAGAGACAAAAGAAAAAATTTTAAATACTAATATAGCACACAGACTTTTAGTCAACTTCACGAAAATTTATCTACAGAGAGGCAGTATTTCACAATGGTCTATAGTGTAATGCTGAAGTCAGGGAGAAGTGGGTTTAGCAAACTAATTTCCCCAAGCGTTTTCTTTATAAGAAGTCAACAATAATAGTACCTACTACACAGTGTTGTTGAAAAGATTAAATGAGTTTTTACACGTAAAGCATTTGGCATACTGCAAAGACAAAACAAAAAGGCTGCTACGCACTAAGTATAATTTCCAACAATGTATTTATGCAAACATTGATTAAAATCTTATGTTTTGGAAGTCTAGTGGGACTTAATTTGTATAGCTTGTCCACTGATGATTTGTCCCTCTGGCATCTGGAAAAAAAAAGTGTCCTCATAAAACCCAACCAGCCTCCATCCTCATTAGCAAGTAAAGGACAATTAATAGTAAAATTGCCATTCATCACAAAACCATGCTCATTAACAATGAATGAGGTAAGTTTCAGCCTCATCATACTTTCTCGATGCTGCTGAAATCTTTAATACTTCTTTTTAGTCTTTGGGATTTCCGTTATACTTTTCAATTACATAAATATCCAACTGGATGGGAGATAAGCTCAGCAACAATCTCACACTGACATTTCTCCTCCCCACTGTGTTGGGGTCGCACGACATCAAGGTAGTAAAAAACTCACATAGATCCACAAGAAGGCGGAGGTGCCCAAGGTCAGTCCAACTTTCAGCCACTCAGGTCTGTCATGTGGCGGCTCCCGAATGTAGAACTTTGATCGCGCTGAAGCTGAAAGGGGACAGTGTAAATCGATAACGTATCGCCTTGTACTGAAAAACCTAACATTTATGTGTGTACTATTGCATTTAATTCTCTCTTCAACCCCTCTCTCCCCCGCTTAAACAGCCTCGGAAACAGAGGTTCAGAAAGGTCATGTTAACTCGCCCTGAGCCACCGGCACAGCCAGACCGAGTGGCCCCTGTCCTCCAAGACGCCCTCAAAGCCTCGTAAACCGGCTTTTGCCGAGCCTCAGATAACCCTCGAGTTGGCGGGAAGCGGCACCGAGAGGGTCTGCAGGACCCAACCTGCGGCGGGTTGGTGGGGGTGAACCCAGAGTCCATTCGTAGAGACCAAGAGTTGTCGGCACTAAGAGGAGGGTCGGCGGCGGTGATGGGGAGCCTAGAGTCAGGGCTGGGATCTGGGACGCAGGCCGGCGAAGGTCACTGCAGGACGAGCCCGGGCCCAGACGCCCCCTGCCCCCGCGGGCTGGGTTCACCCTGGGAGTGGCAGACAGTAAGGTCGGGTGGGCCTGAGCGGAGAGGGACACTCACAGCCGCTTGGGAGCCTGGCAGGGGCCAGCAGCTTGGAGAACGGGCGTAACAACGCGGGCAGCGCCATCTTGCCAGGCAGGGCTCCGCCTTTCCGCAACCCCATCTCCCCTGGAGTCGGCGCTCACCCGAGCGCCCCCTGGCGGAACGAAGTGAGGGATACGCTAGCTACGCAGCCGCGCTGCTAAGTAGAGTTGTTAACTCGAGAATCGTGGTTATTGCCTGGTACTCTAGCTCTCCTGGTCTCAGCATCCCTTTGTAAAAAGGGTTTTGGGAGGAAATGATTAAAAGGGGGTAAAGGGTAGTTTATCCATTTCGCTGTCCCATGAGAATCTCAGGCCCCTGCCCCAGGGATACTCAAGAGGGGTAGTGGGAGAAGGAGAAGCAGGCTTTCCCGCAGAGCAGGGAGCCCAGTGCGGGGCTGGATCCCAGCACCCTGGGATCATGACCTGAGCCGCAGGCAGACGCTTAATGACTGAGCCACGCAGGAGCCCCTGAGATTTACTAAAATCTTGCTACATGAGCCAGAAAACTGAAAAAGGAGTGCTGTGTTGAGTAACAACTAGCACTTTGAATTCTGTGTTCCAGACACTGTACATTATGCATCCATCATATGGTTTACATGTATCATCTCATTTCATCTTCACAACCACTGCCTGGTATACCTTATTATCCTCAGGTTACAGATGAAGCTCAAGGGCAATTTACTCATCCAAGGTGACATACCATATATCAGCTCGGGCTCAGGATCCCACAGCTGGGGAAGGTGAGATTCAGACTAAGGTCTTCTGACCCCAGATCTAGTGATCCTCATTAGCCCACCTAACAGACTTGGACAGTCCCCTGAGGCCATGAGCTGTAGAACAGGGTTCAAAGAGTCAAGTTTAAAACGCCATTCCTGTAGACCATTTTTTAGCTTTTGATTTTTAGGCAAATTACTTAATCTCTCTACACCTCAGTTTTATAGCTATAACATAAAACCTATTCTATATGGTCCTTGGGAAGCTTAGAAAGTGTCTGGTAGTTGCAAACAACTTGTTTTTGCCGGTCTACCAAAGACATTGTACTGACAATAGGTTTTATCTTTCATAATTGAGCCAGATTTTGTGCATTCACTTCTCAATTCAATCTGATGTCTAAAGATCATGTAAACATATGTATATAAGTAAAAGAAATAATGAATTTTAATAATTTAATTCTTTAAACTTAATGCCATTTAGGATCATTTTAAAAGCACAATGTTAGCAAATCTTTTCTCCCTCTATATTTTCTTTTTCTTGAAGATTTTATTTATTTGTCAGAGAGAGAGAGAGAGAGCAGGAGCAGGGGGAGCAGTAGGGAGAGGGAGAAGCAGACTCCCCGCTGAACAGGGAGCCTAGAGTGGGACTCGATCCCAGGACCCCGGGAGCATGACCTGAGCCGGAGGCAGATGCTTAACCGACTGAGCCACCCAGGCATCCCTATATTTTCTTTTTTAAAAAAAATTTTTTTTTAAGCTCTATGCACAATGTGGGTCTTGAACTCACCACTCCATGATCAAGAGTAGCATGCTCTACTAAGTGTCCACTTTTATATTTTTTTAGCAATATTACTGGAAAAAAAATTGACCAAAAATTGACCAAAGAGTAAAATAATGTACTATACTTTCTGGTTCATTTTTACATGCAACTGACGGCTACCTGGATTGCTAAACTGTGAGTCACATTATAATTTGTAACCTAGTTTGAGCCTCCTAGACTCATGCTCAAGTAAGCAAACCACCCAACTAATATGCTGAGTCAGTTGTTGGTTCTCAACTTCTTGTCCATTCAGCAACCTGACAGTTGAATATTCTTTCTACATCATCCCTTGGAAGCTTGTCCTGACACAGCTTTTGCTAGTATCCAACAAGTTGAAACAGAAGCCATATTTAGTCAGAGCATACAGAGCCAGTTAGTAAATTACTAATTTCAGTACTGCTGTTGGAAAAAGGTTGCTTTGTACTTTTGGTCCCTGTATCCTTTTACTAGTGTATATTTTAGGAAAGTGATGAAATATAAGCACATTCCTCTCAGCATGTTAGAGTTGATGGAACCCTACACTTAGAGTAGGCAGCTGTAGGTGAAACTCCATCTTGTTGAAGCAATTCCAGCGAGGAGCTGATAGCTATGATATTTTGGTAGAAGTTGCTACATGACATTCATTTAACCACTTCCAGAATTTGAATGCTAAAACTTTCTTTATGACCCAGGCAAAAGGAGAGAGGATTTGAGTTAGCACCTAGAAAACCACAGTTCTAGTCCCAGACTTTTCCACTAGGCAACATCTTACTCAGCTCACACTTCTCATTCCTAGGGAGGGTTAAAGAAGAGCAAAAGTTGAAAACAGTATAAAATATAAGATCACTACATATATGTTTATTGATTTACGATGCATGAAAATATCATACGTCAAATTCAGGATCTGAAGAGGGATGCAGTTCCTGATATATTGGCAAATTTTTAAAAAATTTTTATTTATTTTTTAAAAGGTTTTATTTATTTCAGAGGGAGAGACAGAGGATGAGCAGGGGGAGAGGCAGAGGGAGAAGCAGGCTTCCCGCTGAGTGGGGAGCCCAATGCAGGGCTCAATCCCAGGACTTCCAGATTATGACCTGAGCTGAAGGCAGATGCTTCACCGACTGAGCCATCCAGGCGCCCCATATCTGCAAATTTTTAAAAACGATTTTATTTATTTATTTGAGGGAGAGAGACAGAATGAGCAGTGAGGAGGGGTAGAGGGAGAGGGAGAAGCAGACTCCCTGCTGAGCAGGGAGCCGATGCAGGGCTCATGTTGGGCTTGATCCCAGGACCCACGCTGAAGGGAGAGGCTTGACTGACTGAGCTACCCAGGTGCCTCAAGTATATGCAAATTTTTATTTAAAAAACAATCAGAAGCAATCACAAAATGTTAACATTTGTTAAATCTGGGTGACAAATATATAGACTTGTTTTATGTTGTATTTTTTTTTAAGATTTTATTTATTTGACACAGAGAGACACAGCGAGAAAAGGAACACAAGCAGGGCGAGTGGGAGAGGGAGAAGCAGGCTTCCCGCTGAGCAGGGAGCCTGATGTGGGGCTCGATCCCAGGACCCTGGGATCACGACCTGAGCCGAAGGCAGACGCTTAACAACTGAGCCACCCAGGCGCCCCTTATGTTGTATTTCTATAAAATTTAAATACTTAATGATTAAGGCATAAAAGTGTCAATAGAGAACATCTTACATATATGGAGATGGAGAATTTTCACTCTACATATCCCTTTTGTAGGATTAAAGTTTGGAGGTTATTTATTTATATATTTATTTATGGTTAATTTTTTTGTGAAGAGGCACTTTGGCAATAGTGATATGCAAATACTTAGGGTACGATGAATGAAATAACCATCATCATCATCATCATCACCACCACCATCCTCATCGTCTGTCATCATCCAGCCTTGGATATGTTAATTTCCTGCATAGCTGTCATTCACAGCATACAGGTTAAATAGGATCTGTCAAACTGTTGATCTATGAGAGCAGGTATTTTATTATTGTGTTCAGGCTATCAAGTCATGGACTGTATGGTCCAATTGTTATCTATTGGTGCATTTTAACTAGGAAATGACTCAGATAAATGTCAATGCAAACTAGTATTCACTGAGTCTTAAAAATTTATTTGTTACCAGCCAAAAAGAAGGTAACATTTGCCAAACTATATTGTTGTCTCATCTATTCAGGGACTCAGCCTTTGGTGGGGACTACTGTTTGTTTCAAACATCAGAAATTTTCTTCCCTCAAGAGGAAAATATTATATTATTTAAAGGAGAAATTTAGAAAACATTAGCAAATAATACTGCTGTAGGAACTTCTGGATATGAACAGAGATTTGGAAACCAAAGTTGGTAGTGAAGCTAAAATTATCACTGTAAGTTAGATTAACTTTTTTACCTCTTAATAGCTGAGATGGTTGAAAGAAAGACCTCTTGGGGGCAGTGAAGTTCAAACGTTATCATTGAATGACAACTGTTTTTATGAATTCTATGTTTGTTCTTAGTTTTTTTTTTTTAAGGTTAAAAAACTGGCCTTATTCCAAAACTCAAACATCTGTAGATACAGGTTTCCTGTAGATACAACTTTTTTCCATGAAATTTTTGAACAAAGATAACAGAATTTGAAGGAATTGCAGGATCTGATTCACAAAACTTTACTGATGATCCAGGCAAAAGAAGAGGACATTTGAGATAGCAGCTGGAAAACCCAAGCATTAGTCCCAGATTTTTGCAATGGGAAACATCTCACTCACCTTACACCTTCTAGGGAGGATTAAAGAAGTGCAAGCTGAACAGTAAAAGATCTGGGTAAATACATTTAAAAGAGCAAAGTTAATGCACATATAATACAATGATTCATGATGCAAAGAATGCTATGGATGGAATTTAGCATCTGGAGAGAGATCATCAAAAATAATCAAGCGTAAAAATGGCTCACACGAGGGAAAAATTGGAGATCATCAATGGAACGCCAGCTTTAAAATAGTTTTACTGTTAACTAAAAAAAAAAATTTTTTTTAAGTAGGCTCCTGCCTAAATTGGGGCTCAAACTCACCACTCTGATATCAAGAGTCACATGCTCTACTGACTGAGCCAGACAGGCGCCCCTTTACTGTCAACTGCTCATGAAATTACTTATACATATACACATATGTGGAAAAGGTCCTCTTCGGGATCTAGTTTGATATTGCCTACTGCAGCAGTTCTCTAGTATCCTTGCCCGATACTCCGGTGTTTAAGATTTGAGGATTTCTGGTGATGGGGAGTTCAACACTCACAATATTAAGCACTAGCTTTTACCCAGCTCCAGGGGAGTCAAAGTCCCTGAACTCTACTCCAAGATGACTCAAACAGTCGTGAACCCTTCATTGTATGGACTCAACAATGAAATAAAACACATTTTAACTTTCAGATGCTCCTTTGGCAGTGCAAATACGGCATTTAGGATCTGGCTCTTTCCAGGCTCACCTTAAGTAATAAACTAAATCACCGATACTCCAGCCAGCCCATTTAACTGGTCAAACTCTTTCACGGTTTTC